TGGCACACTTTTGTCATCCCTTTTCACTTCTCTGCAATTGTGTGAAAGGGTCATCAAACTTGAAATTGCCTGTGCGGCAACCTCTCTGGCACTGTTTGATTTAGCTTCAAGCATCTTCACAAGGAGAGGAATGCACCCGGCTTCACCGATCAGTTTTTTCATCTCTGTTGAGCTGCAAACCCGGCAAATTGCGGATGCAGCAGCCTGCTGTGCACCTAGTGAACCGGACTTAAGCACGTGAACCACGCATGGGAGGAAACCAAGAGAAACCAAAACCTCCATAGAAACTGAGCCAACCAAATTCCTCAATGCCCCGACTGCAGATTCTTGTGGCAATGGACCAGCAAGATAAGCCAACAGGCTCCGAATTCCACCTTCTGAAATTACAGACCTCCTTAGATTGTCATTGCATGCAGTGAGATTCTGCAAGCACTCTGCTGCATATTCTTTGGAACCCAATAAAATTCCACAATCAAGGAGATTAATCATAACTTTTACAATCCCTTCCTCAGCTAGAGTTTGCCGAACTTCTGGGACAGCTGATATGTTCTTCAAAGTGCTAGCAGAAGCAGCCTGAGAAACAGAATCACCAGTCTGACATATCTCAATCAGTGGCCTAACCCCACCATGCCCAACAATTGCACGGGCTGCTTCTTCTGACATTGACAATCTTTGAAGCGAAATTGTAGCCTTCTCTTTACCCACTGCACTGCCAGACTCAACAAGCCTTATTAGAGGTGGCAAAACCCCTTCAGAAACAAGCCAATTTTCGCAACTTCCAGATTCAGCAAGCGAGCAGATTACAGTTACAGTCTTCTCACGGATACGAGGAGATGTTGCAGTGAGCAATTGGACTAAAGCAGCAATATTGCTACGACCCATAACTGACAATACATTCTTTTCATCCTCTTTCATGCCCTCAACAAGACTGTCAAGAGCTTTATGTTTTGCCTCCAAGTGCCCAATCTGAAGCCGCGCAAGCAGTTCCCTTATGTTACCATGAGCAGCAGCCTCAGGTTCAGTTGAAGAACCAGCCATAGCTAAAGGCAAAGTAGCCTCACCAAGCACCCCAGTCTTGATCAAAAGCCCACAATCTCGCAAATTCAAATCCAATTTCCCAGACAACGCATCAAGATTACTCTGCATCCTAAGTTTTCCTTCATATTTCTCCCCCACACAAAACTCAGCCAATTCAATAACCTCCTTCAGTGTCTTAGAAACTGACTGCAATTGCTCCTTACAAAGAGCATTCTTGGAAAAGCATGGATGGCTAGACAGGTCTGATAAACGTGACGGGATCTGCTCCAACTTTGAAATGATCATCTTCCACCGACCTGGAAATCCCTTAACCTCTCTTGCCTTATTCAGTGCCAATGGAACAAGCTCCCGTGCATGTGATAACCATTCTTCAGCCGACCGGGTACCGGTCAAAACCTCATTGCCACCATTCTCCATCATGATTTCAATAAGGGTATAGATCAAATTGGCGACCAGAGCTCTACCAACTGAAATTTGAAGGAAACAAAGCCTTGTAAGGATTAAACGGAAAAGAAAATGCAAAGTAAAGATATGTGCATATAAAACTAAGAAGGCAGTGGAGCAGTTGCAATCATAAAAACATAAATTATG